CCTCTAAGCACTCATCTCTTTTTCAGCCCTATTTAGCATCACCCTCAGAACACTATAATCACACAAATAGCTAATTGAGCTATAATTGAGTAATAATGCAGCATGATTAATACAATTCTTTGTAATCTAGATAAAATGTGATGGCCTTTACTAGGAGCCACTGAAATCAGAATGAAGTGTTTCATATTTCTGCATAGATACTGTATGTGTTTATAGTTTATTCACTTTCCATCAGATAACAAAGTGAAAGCAACAAACACTTAACAAAACAGAAGAGGTTTAGTATTAGATTTATCTAATAATCTAACGTCGGTTATTTTGTGTTCTCTGGTAAAAGGAGGAGTCATTTAAAATCGTGTCTTTCATTGAACTGAAAATGAAACCAAAGTCAGAGAGCAGATTAAATACCTCATATACATACATTTAAATAGCCCGACTACACTGCACAGAGTTATTGAAACACATTTAGACATAATCGGTTCTCTCTTCTCTTCGGAGGAAGTATAAAGAAATGTGATTTAAAGCCTCTTACACAGTCATATAAAAAATTCACCATGGAGTATCCTTAGGCTTGTAGTATAAGTTTATAAAAGGAAGAATTGATAGTTTGCTTTGTTTCTCTAAGCTTTAAGCACTACAGTAGAGCTGCAATTCCTTAAATATGCTAACACATCTATTGTTACACACAAGTATACGTCTTCATATTGATCTGTCTGCATCTTATTTTTTTATATAAAAATGCATATGTACACAGATGAATAAAAACAAAGTAACAACAGCAACAACAAAAAAATACTGTTAAGAACAGATAAAGTGCAAGCCTGGGTTTAGAACATGAATGCTATTTACAGCTTATGTTAGCGGCTGTTTTGGAATCGCTAGCCCAGTATTCCATTCCCACAGAGAAAGAGCTTTTAAGGTGGTGAAGCTTGGTTGTAATCTGATAAAGGAGAGCAACATTTTCAGCTTGGAGGCACTGTGTTTTGAGCTACCATCCGAAAAAGCATTTATTCTCCTATAAAGCAAATAAAAACTGATGACTAAAATATGGAAGCGGTCATGCAGCACACTGTCTGGTGTGTCCAGGTGCTTGTTTAGGACTTCAGCTCTTTTTCCACACAGTAAAAACTGCCCGAGTTGACCTGTAATAGTGTTTTTGTGATTCTGAAAATCTGAACAGCAATGCTGTTTTGGATATTTCAGGTACATTATTAGGATTAAAATTTTACTATTTTTTTCCCACCAATTCAAACAATGAAACAAATCTAAAACAGAAAGATTTGAGTAAGCATGCACTGAAAGATTAATGATATATTAAATGAAATAATTTAACTTAAATCATTTCAAATGATTTGTAAATGTTTATTGTTTTTTGTCTCAAATATAAAAAATGGAATTGAATAGAGTGTAACAATTAATAGTGCATTATTTTAAATAATTATTAAGAACAATAAAGTGATATAACTGAATAACTGAAGTCAGCGTTATCATTATCTCATCAGTGCTAATATGGGCTGATTAAATATTTCTATATTATATTACCACTACTAACGACTGGTCTCGGCTCTTTGACTGCAAGCTTTATTTCTTTTTATTAAGGTTTTTTATTAAGGTTTCTTCCTACAGAGGAAGACGAAGGCCAGAGATGTGGAGAGGTGGTGGTGGGTGTGGAGGGGATGCTTATTTAAGTGAAATATTATGTTGTACGGTAGATTTCTTCTTCAAAGGGGGAAAAGCACTGCATCCAATCTCTGTTTTACAATAGGCTGCATGCGATTTCAGACTAGCGGGAGAATGGTGTGTCTGGAGCCACAACCACTATGGTAATAGAACGAGCAGAACGGCAGTGCTATGCGCAGAGTAAGCCTAGTGTATCTTCAAATGAGATCAGTGGTTATTGACTCAATGGTGTTATCTTTAATCTGTGGAGTAAATTGCCTTGGATGCTGCCTCTCCATCCTGGCTCTTTTCTCCCTTTCTTCTATAACTCCCCCCTTTTCGATTCCATTCGAAGAGAGCAAGCAGCTATTTACTGGGCAGGGTGTGTGTGTCAATGTATGGCTATGTGAGCTGCTTCTCAGCCTCGGGGACATGATCAACGCCCTGAGCAACTCGGAAACGAGAGGGGCCCTATTTCACATTGAGGATTATTGGCTTCTCCCACTCTTTCTCTCTCTCTCTCCTTCCTTCTCTCTCTCTCCCTCTTTCACAGACACTCTTTCTCTGTATGTTCTTTAAAGGCCTAGCATGTCTCATCACAGGCTGTCTGGGACTGGGACTGAGGGTAAAGTCACCTTGAGAGAGAACACCTTAGTGAACTCCTCCACTGAGGGGAAAAAAAAATACTGCACAATTCATTTGGGACACTGTGCCAGAATTCAAAATTTTACCATTTTAAATTTCAGCAAAATTCACTTATTGAGAAGCAAACAAAGACTTTCAGATTATTTTGATGAAAAATGCACTGTCCTGGAGAAACAGTAATAGCTGTTATAGCAGCCCTGTCTGAGGCCTTTAGAGCCTCTAAAATCTACCTCACAGAAATTTATTACACAAAATTGTTAAAAATATGTTGCCTGAAGCTTAAAAGACTGTTTTATATGTTTTGGTCTAGAGTGCATTTGTATTCCCAGCTTATTTCCATGAAATAAAAGGAAAATAGTAGCCTAATAAACCTAGCAACAATATGAAAACAGCTTCACTGATTTTTGGGTTAACAAACAAAAACAGCTATCTTTGCCCTTGCAGACATAATGACTTAAAATGTAGAGTTTGTAAAGTAAAGCTTCTCTAAGATGCAACGTTCTTCTTCAAAACACTCTATATGACTAATAACAAAATCTCTGTAATTCCAGAAAATATATACTAGAATAAATTCTTTTAAGGGTCTTTCCATCTCCTAGCTTAGACAGTGTATTTGGATGTACCGTGACATGGTTAACTGACACGTATCTTACCTGAGAGGAGGTACACACCATGTCTGATAAGGTCCGATTGATCTTCCCAAACCCGAATGATTCGTCTTTCTCTCACATCCCTTTACCACCATGCAAGAGCTCTTAAATCTTTGCTGTCTTATTAAAGGTTCTGAAACCAGCTATACATTTTTGGCCTCCTAATAATGTCGAAGAAATATATGACTTTGGTGGGACACACCAGGCACTTAACAAGTAACTCAACAGCAGATCAATACCTGAACATGTTGCTCAGCGCTGTGCGGCTCTTCGTCTTTGCAAAATGTGCAGCATCTCGAGGGACGGAAAAGCCTCTTTGTTTCTCATTTTAAACTTACTGGGCACTTTTGCCTTTTTTTTGAGCAGTTTTATCTACGTATTGTATTTCTGCATCTCATTGCAGGAGTGACCTTTAAGAAGAAGTGTGTACCTTCTATTTAAACAACAACTGCAATGAATATTTCAACAGCGTGTTGCTCTGCCTTCGCTGTCATCACTTATGCTGCAGTGGGATTTCAAGATTTCATCAGCTAGAGGGTGCAATAGACCATGTAGTGGGAATGCGCTCTCCCTTTTGATATTAATGCACTATGTTTATTTACAGAATGATATAAGAGCTAGAGATAATGGCCGTGATTAAGCGTGCACTCGTACTGGGAAGTCTTGCTCAGGGCACTTGATCATGAATATAGGCTCTGTTCCCCTAAGAGAGAGAGAGAAGTTTATACTGCACATGCTCTTTTATTCTGTTCAGAAACTGTGAATGGAAAAATGGTAAAGTTTATGTTTATTATGTTGTACTGTTCTGGGAAAACAGGAAAAGACTACGAGAATATGATGATATTAAGTGAGCCTCTTTTAAGAGTGTCAAATTCTCCAGTCAATGTTCATGAGAAGTGCTGTTATTGCTGTTTTTTGTTGTACTGTAAATGAACAAGAAAAAAAAGGAACTACTGAACTGTATTTATGTTGGTTTTTTGAGCTATAATATTGCATTTGTCTGTAGCAATGGAATACTTTTGGACCAAAACACAAAATAAACTCTTAACAGGAATATTCCAAAACTATATACATTAACAATCACATAGTCAGGACATTATAATACTACATGGACATTTCCTTAGTGTGAATGAGGATTTAATACAAAGGAAAGAGTGACATGAGAACTTCATATTGGTCCCACTGGAAGGTGAGGAGAGGGCTGTGGCAAGGAGCTTTTTAAAGCAAAGCAGAAAATGAAATATTGTGACAGGTCTACTAGATTCAGTCTAGCTACAATTCCTTAAGGAGAAGCTGAAGCTTCTGAAGCAAATATTTGTCTGTATTCTATTTCCCTTCAAAGTTTCCCTTCAATATATATACACGTTTTTAGTTTTTGACATAATTTGAAAATTCCTGTAGTCCTTTATATTGTGTGAATTTCATGATGATTGGACCAAAACCATATGTGAAGAATTATTTTGGATATATATATATATATATATACACACACATACATACACGTATACACACACACACACACACACACACACACACGCATATATATATATATATATATATATATATATATATATATATATATATATATATGTATGTATACAGTAATATGTACCATTCCTGAAGCTGTCAAGTCTGTAAACCTTGTAAATCGGCAAGATGTGAATGCTTCTTTTCAGTTTTAGGGAAGCAATGGCAGAGAAATATCTAATTGGTGTTTCTGGCAGAGTTGTTGTTTTGCACAGGTTTTTTAGTGTAGTACCTCTGAGTAATGCATATAACAGCAAGGCCCTCTCCCTCCACTCCTTTCCAACATAAATCAGCTGAGCTCATGCTCATAAATCTAAGGCCAGACTAAATGAGAAAGCTCATTGGACAGCACCTCTCCTCCCTCCAAGCTGTCATTCAGCCCCTCTTCTCTCGGACCACACATTTCAATACAAACAAAACAGATTGTAGTACATCAATGACAGAAATAGCAGAGAAAATCAGAAGAAAATTCACACAGATGCTAAAAGATGTTTAACTTTGAACTCAATCGTCAACAGCTTGAAAGGGTGTTCAAGGTAGGGTCGGCGGAAACCCGGAAGCATTTTGCTCTATTTAGTTTTCCCGGGGAGGAGGTGGTGGGTTGTTTGTTTTTTGTTTGCTTTTTGTTTTGTCTGGGGATGGGTTTTCTGTCTTTAGTAGGGAGTGAAGCGACTGTACCCTCCTCTGTATAGGCTAGCCTGCAACATCAAAGATGAAAAACAAAAAGGTTCCAATCAGTGTAAAGTAGATTCGTTGGATTCTGTTTTGTTAGAATTTTCTTCCCTTTCTTCTTCCTTGTTCATACCACATCAGCTGTCGTTTGCTTAGCAGCATCAGGGTAAATTGTAGGTTAAGGTGTGACTGAGCTGAGGAGCATTTTTAAGGTCCAACTGAGTAGCGACTAAAGCAGGCCACTGCATCTGTTTAACACGCCAAACACTCTCTAATATTTTTGAGGAACCACCAAATGGTTCAAGACAACTTGCAGGTGATTACTGAACTTTATGTCGGCCAAGCAACTCTCTTGAAACCTAGAGAGAGCAAGAGGTTAGATGTTTTTTTTTTTAGAGCCTCAATATAGCTGTCCTACCCACAGGGTAGTCTGTCTCGTCCTCAGGTTTATTTGACCAGAGACATCCTATATTAATCACTTTCTCAGCACTCTGTTTTAGCTGGACTGCTGTAGTGCCCTGCTGCTCTGGCCCACTGCAGAAACTTCAAAGGCTCCATCCCCAGCCTTTCCAAAAACCAACTCGGCGCAAAACACACGCCTTAAACGTGGCATGAATTCTGTTCTCTCAGAAAGCAGGCGAAACTAACTTTCTTTACCCTCTAAGGGACTCATTATTGAATTACTTTTTACTTGAGATCTGCTGATCAAATATGATCAAATCATATTAATTTCCCTCACAGTGCACTCAGTAGCGCTGTCCGTTGTGGTTCCTTTAGCCGCTACCAGTTTGCTCCATGCACTAGTCAGAGCAGTGAAGAGCCACAAGCTTCCTGCATCTCTCACAAGAAAAACAAAGTCCAAAAGAGGGACACTGCTCAGGGAGAGCTACATACTTTGGTGTGTCTCAGACTGGCAAATTGTAGTCATGAGAAAGGGAGGAAAATTTGAAAAAAGGAGAGGAAGAAGGAAGGAAAAAAGCAACACAGGCCACAGTTTTAATTAAGTAAATGAAGAGGGAAAAAAATGGTCTTAATTAATGAAAGCTTTTAGCTAGCAGCTGCACCGGGGAATAATACTGTTTTGAGAATCACACGCATGTCGGCTTGGTAAATTCCAGCCATTTGTCTTAGGCAGAGTGTTTGTCCAATAAGCCTCATGGGCGAGGGGAGGCGGAAGCGATGGAATCTTTTCTTTTTTTGTCTTTCTTGCTCTCTATCTCTCGCTCTTCTTTAATCTCCCTCGGCACGCTGCTGCACGCGCTTGATGGTCGTTAATCTTTGGGAAATTCCCTACCCACAACCGGTAAAAAAAAAAAAAATAATAATAATAATAATACAAAAACAAACAAATCATACAGTTCTTTCTTTTGTGCAGATAGGAGTTTTAGAATTTTTCATCTTTGATGTTAGCTGCAAAAGCTAGCTAAAAACAAACATTAACAGAACAACTATCCCCACAACAATTTGAGTGTTCTCATATAAAAAGGAAAATGGTTTGTTTGAAAGGTCTTATCAGATTGAAGTAATAAAATTTCAGTTCAGCTGGGACACTGAGAGAGACACCCCCTTTCATTCATCGAGGCAGAGGGGATTCATTGTTCAATTCACCTAGACAAACGGAGACATACCTGCAAAGATGAGCTTCAGTGTTCTCGCCCAGCTTTGGCAAGCATCAGGTTCTTAGGCAGTGTTTTTACAGCACAAAGAATCCACAAACACCCCAACTTCATTTTATCTCTAGGTTTGTAAAGTGTCCATTCTAGTTAACTCAGTTGAACTCCAACCACTTCACCTTGCCCTAACTGTTTCATTTGCTTCTCTCTCTCTTTAGAGAGGATGTTAGAGGATCCAGATGACCTAAACCAGGTGCCGACAACTGGCTGACCTATTTCAGCAGTCCAGATGCTGAACCAGCAAAATATTTCAGTGGTCAAAGGTAACATGTCGTCCTATTTCAGCGACAGGAACATCAGTGTGGCTTTTGTAGCGACCCTGCGTCGCAGTTTATCCGGTTTATGTAAATGACAGTAGCTCATGGTGGCAGAGACCACTTGGACCTTTACTTTACTATCATTTATTTTATTTAATATAATTTATGTCTTCTTTTGACAAATATAATTTTAAAAATTTTAAAGAACTAATCATTAATGGTTTAAGGATGATTACTGCCACCCAACACTTAGTTAGTTTATCTAGATCTCTGTAAGCAATAAACTGTGGATGAAGTTGGGGATGCTTACATCTATGCCATGAAGGTGATAGTGTCATGCTGTGTTATGCAGACTTACCATAGTGCCCACGCTGTACGTGGCTGCAGGTCCAATCGTGTGGTGGTAGGGGTCTGCTGTTGCATAGACTCTGCCATAACTGCATGGAGAGAAGGAAAGATTGAAGTGGCCATTAAAACATTAAAGCTTCAACAGTGGCACTATGGACAGCCTCTGTTCACTTTATCTAGTTCCATTAGCTCCATCTATTTTCTATATCTCACTCTACGATGAAAATGCAATTGTCTGCTCATTGTAAATGTACGGTATAAAGGTATGAGTGCAGGAAAAAAGTGATTCGTGCTAAGTCATTGCTGTTCAGGTGTAAAAGTAGTGAGCATTTTATCTTTTTGAGGACGTGGTAAACGTTATATTGATCTGAAAAGAGCAAATGCATGGAGAGATAAAAGAAAGGCATAGAGGGAGGGACAGGAACACAAGGGGGAGAACAGAATAGAGGGAGAAAACAGAGATTACAGAGAGGAATAGGAGTTTAAAGACAACAGACACACTGAATGAAAGGTACAAGAGGGTGGCTGGTAGGAAAGCAAGTCGGCATGCTTAAGGCATATTTTGTGTGTGTGCGTGTGTATGGCTCTCTTCATTCTGTCCATGCTCCTTTGCCCTTCCCTTGTCTACCCAGCCTGCACTGGGGGTGGCTGTTTCTCCCACTCTTTTCATTGTTGGCGGATTGGAACTAATTCCTCCAAGATGGGCCTCACTTGTTCACTTATTTATTTATTTACTCCCAACACTTCCCTTCTTCATTTGTTTACTTTTCTCCAAACACACACTTGCAAATGAGGGCCTGTGGGGAGCAGATAAGGCAGTGCGGGCCCTGGGCTGAGGGCACGGACTGAGAGAGGAGAAAAGAGGAGAGAGGGGGAAATCCTCTGCCCAGACACGGCTATTACACATGGAAATACTATCGGATCTGACCAGGTTTTTGTCATCCGGGATTATTACAACATCAAAGGTCAGGCCAGCATGAGAGAATGAGAAAGCTGAGCAGAGGGGATTTTGACTGCCTATGCCCGACGATTCAGAGACCGATCTGAGGAGTTCACCCGGGAATCCCCAGGACAGGCTGTTCAATATGGAGCCTGGCCAGTCAGAACAAATGGGCATTACACTGTAAAGCATCTAAGCCATCAGAAAATACAGCTCCCACTATGGAGCAAGCTAGTAAGTTGTTCATTTTGAACATAAACTACTTGATTCCAGGAAATTATGGGGACATAGTTTTTCTCAAAATCAACAGGTGAAGCCATGAAGCCATATCACCTGTGATGAATAGGATTTGAGCAGTGTTAGAGTAAATGTTAATCCACTCTTGGTATAATAAGCTCATATTAACCCTGTAAGTGTGCCTAAAATACGATGGATTTAGTCATTTTAAACACAGCACACTGAAAAATCACCAATTCTGCACAGATTTCTCCAGTACTCACTACTACATAGTTCATGTTAGTACACCTTTGGTATAGAAAGCCCATACTAACCCTGTGAGACCACCTGAAATACTGTGGATTCAGGCATTTTGAACACCCTGCAAAATCACCAATTCTGAATGGATTCAATCTGAGTTAATTACCAAACAGTTCATGTAGTAGTTTGTAGTACTGTGGATTCAGTCATTTTAAACACAATACACTGCAAAATCTGAAATTCTGAACAGATATCACTGGTACTAACTACTACACAGTTCATGTTAGTAAACTCTAGCCATAGAAAGCCCATATTAAACCTGTAAGTGTGCCTTAAACACTGTGGATTCTGTCCCCAATCACCTGCTATACAACACACCGAACACATAAATTGTACATAAATGAGTCTCTGTTTAATAGTATTGTGAGAATGTAGGAGAGAGCATGAGAAAACACATTTTCTGGGAAGAAAGAGGCTTGTGGGGAAAGAGAATGAGAGAGTAGAGGAAGTGGGAGGAACGAGGGGGAGAGCAGGAGAAAAGGAGGCAGCTGAAATCACTGCGGCAGAATGTCAGTCTCTTCACCTGCTCTGATGTGGATCGGCGCTTGGCTCTGATAAATCTTACATTATCTGCGCTCTTCAGGCTAGCGGGCAGGGCCAGGCCTTATCGCCACTGACACGCTCAATCTCGCCTAGATTAAACCAGCGCCTGCCCTGATCCAACCTGACAGGGTCCCCACAGGTCCCAGATAAATTACTGACAACCTGGCACCACCCTGCTCCTCAAACACACATACACACACACACCACCCCCCAAATACACATACACACACACAGCCCTTGAGGCCTAAGATAAGTGGCCGCGGTTCAGAGAAGTAAGCTCACTCAGGTGGAAGAGTACATACTTATCTAAGATACTAATACCAAGAAGTCTCAAGAGGTCATGTCCAAAAGGTCTTTACACAAATCTATTATAACATCGTGAGTAATTCAGCAGTGTGCTATGACACACTATGGTTGCTACTCTGAATTCAGAACTTCTATTGCACAACAGTACCTGCGAAAAGTACCCATGGCTCATTGGAGGTTCTGTGGTGGTGACTCAAGTGCTAACAGGATAGGTAAACAACAGTAGCAACAATGGAGTAGCAACAATGGGGCTTCACGTTTGCATTGGCAAGACAGCTATTCTGGCTAGCTAGTTTTTCAACATGCAATAATCTGACTGCATATGACGATTGTGTAATGCTTTAACCAATAAAGTACAGAATGGGTCACTAGGCAATGAAAATGGTTTTGCAACAGTACTGTACCACTCTGTCTGGATGGAAACCACTAAAATATACTAGTGAATTTGAAAGCTAATAGCAAATGTCTTTCTATGAATAAAATCACTTACTAGTACATTAATGTGTTCTGAGAGGTTAGCCAATAGTTCTATACTCATAAAGCAATACCAGATGTGATGAGGACACCTGATTAACAGAATTAGGCATGAGAAATCCTACTGTAGATGAATAGATGTAATATCGATGTAATATCACCCCCTGACAGAGAGGGCACTGTGGCACACTTACCTGTCACTGTAAGCTGCTGCGGCTGCTGCGGCTGGCTGGGCATACCTGTACGCTGCATAGCCGCCCTGTCAGTCACACAAAGCAAAAACATTACACACATAAAAACAAGGAAATAAGGATGAAATCATCATCTATCATTATGATATAGTTGTCTATGATGCACATCCACAATCCTCTTACTAGCAATGATATATAAAACAGTTCAAGATGCTGCAAAACTGATGATGAACCAACAGCTCATACAAGTGCACCTGTGAGTTGAATTAAGCAACGCTGTATTCTACTTAGCTTAATCAAAGCCTGCTACTGAAGTCCTAGAGCACACATGAGTAGCTTGTGAATGAACAAAAAAGTAAGGTTTGTGACTTTGCTCTTTCTTTTTTAGTTGTTAGAGTGGTTTTAATAGCTAAAAGACAGTTTGATGGAATTAGGCCAACAGACCTCGATAAGGTCACACATGGCTAACTTGGCAAAACTCAATGGTGAACCAAACAAGCCCATTTACCTGTCTACTCTGTGTGCAGTTATAGCAACACCACCTGCTACGTCCCTGTCTGCAGCACATCAATTCGATCAATCGGAATGGCAGCACTGGGCGCCCATCGATCAGCATTTTAAGTGGGAATCTGGTATAAACATTTAAAACCAGTCAATGCTTGCTTACTGTGAATGAACCAAATGGAAGATTTGGCTGAGGCTATCGGAGGGCCTTTTAATTAATGTGGCCGGCCAATACGAATCCTTTGGCGCAATGCCCGAGGGAGCTGTCCTGACACAGGAAATGCGCTCCACAGAAGCCAAAGCACGGCAGACACTAAATATTGCTTGTATAAGCATTAGATGACATCTGACAAAGCCATTAATTGCTGCACATAAGCCTGCTATTAATAGGCATGTTGTAAGCAGCATCAAATATCATTAGTCAAGATTGTTAGCCACCAAAGAGGATCAGCAATCCAGTTGGTGTCTGCTGATTACGCTCTGAGAGCAAGCTCTGTGGACAAATGTAACACAAATATGCCTTGTTCTAAAGCAGTGAATGGATTTACTTTCTGGGAGTAAGTATCTTTAGTCGCTGAAGTGTTTATCTAAGTGTCTATTTAAATGAAACAGCTCCGCTCTCCCATCTCCTCTTTGTTATTTTATTCTCTGACATCTCTTCCACATTGAACAGTGGCACTGGCAGAGTGTGTGCCAGGCTGAACATGGCCTCAGATACAAGACTGAACACTAAATTATAAATGCTCTCATTCATTTTTCAGCTGTGGATTAATGTCCGATAGTACTCTGCTAAGATCAAATGTTTAGCTGCTGGAGAGCAAGGGAGAAAAAAAGAAAATCAGGTCACTGTAAGAACACTGTATAGATTGTATGGGAGTCTCCCCCCTCTCTCACCACCCCACTCAGCTGCTATCAAAGTTTTTCAATTTTAAACTTCTGGCGTACAGCAGTTTTCTCACTCAGTTGCTATCAAAGTTTTTTTACTTTAAAGCTGTGCCGACCAGGGAGGTCTAAAAAGAAACAGTCAGAACCTTCAGTGTAGCTTAGTCTTGTGTGGTGGGCTATAAAAACAGGGTAGGCCTGGGTTTGTAGCTGAGCATGAGGTCCATGTTAAAGCAACTCTAGATGTCTGGCTATGGGTCTACAGCTTTTGTTCCAAACATACCATGTAGGGATGGGCATCACTGCTGTCTTTGCTGGTTTGCCCTCCTTCAGATCTGAAAGCTGAATTCATTTCCATTTTTCCTCTAGTGACATAATCCTGGGAAGGGAGGCATGCTCTCTCACTCCCTCTGATCACCTGACTGTCTAATACCTTCTGACATTCTGTCAGGAATAATAGTGCTTGGGCATAAGGGCTGGCATACAATGCAAGGCCTTTTGGCTACATTTTAATATGAGCTGAGAGGAGTGGATAAAAATGCAGCATGAAAAAAAAACAAACTAATAAACAAACAAAGAATAACACTCAAGCACCTAGTTTACCCAATGTGATACTGCTCACTCTTATAAAGAAATCAATCAGCTCTGGCAACAGGGTGGACACAGAGGAGTCTGGAGCTGAGCATTAACAATTTCTTACCTAATTTGTCACTGACAAGTAGAAGTGGGTAATAACATACCCATACCCATATCATTTTCAAATGATAATACTTTTACTCAAGTATATTTGTGAGGAAAAAAAATCTACCTTTTACTCAGTTACATTTTAGTCATTTAGTTTATTTTATTTTTTTTTTGTGTGTGTTTAATTTCATTCTATACTGCCTTTGTAATTGGTCAAACCTCTGATTTTGGAGCTTCAGCATTTTATTTGTAAACGAAAATTACTGCAAAATGAGAAGGACAGAGCATAATAAACTTCATTTCCCATACTGATAGATGCTGAATGTACCAAGACGTTTTGCTGCAGTTCTATACTCAATTAAGTAGTTTTTGGCCTGATTCTTTTGTATTTCTAGTCAAGTTGATTTTTCGTTTAGCTGTTTTCACTTTGGCTTGAGTCATTATTTTAAAGAAGTAACAATACTTTAATATGCCCATGCGTTTGTGTTACTAACAGCCTCCACAAAAATATGACTGGCCGCCGCAGTGTTCCCCCCCTACTGAAGTTGTTAGGTTAGTAGATTTTCAGACTGGATAGGGTTGGGTGCAGTCCGCTAATTCTTTTTAGGACACTGTTAGGCTCTTTTTGCTGCAGCACTAAAGAGTTAAAATACAGCCCATATGGAATAACCCAAGTTGCACCCTAAAATTGGTGCGTGTCAGATGAGGTTTAGCCTTATGTGGTTTCAGTATGTCACCATGGGATGGAACAGCATGTACAAGAGACCTTAACAAGGCTCTTAGTGGCCAAGAAAAGGTTGTCCTCATGGATTTGTGCAAGACGACCCAAGCTGACCCTGGCCTTATGAAAGATTCAGCACCAGCTGTTCTGGCAGAGTACAGAGATAAGAGAAGAGTAGTGTTGGAGAGAGTTATTCAGGGAGGTTATAGTTCTCCATCAGCTCTTTTGGCATGGCATGCAAGGATGCCATCCTACCAACCGTGGCAATGCAAAGGCAAGGAACCATGGCTACAGAAACCATGCACAAATGATTTCAGACCTAGGCTGCTACTTTTGCTTACTTTCTGCATATACAGACTAAGAGCATGAGCTAAAAAGAGAGAGGAAACACTCACGTAGATCTCAGCACCGTAGAAACCATCCTGGTAAACCACACTGTAAAGAGAAAAACAAAACCAAAATAACAAAGCACAAAGCATTAGTGTATAGCAGCTACACAGCTTCTTCTTCTATAGAAATGGAAGAATAGAAATCATATAGCTACCACTGTAGGTACTTATTCACCAGAAAAACAATGCACTGTTGACTGAGATGAGAAAAGGCTGGAGCAAATGAGAAATGATGGCCATTTTCACACTGAAGAGTAATTTTATGCTCTGTTAGGAAATCCCTATTGTTTTCTGATGGCCTCTGCTCTGTTACAGGGCTCATGTGCCAGCAGGACTTTGTGGTTCAGTTCATCATTCGACTGTGACACAAATCAATTTAATTGTTCGTATCAGGGCAATTCAAGTTAACGGTATTGTGTCTGTAGCTGGGAATGGGCTTTTGATTATCTTAGACCGAACTGCTAGTACTAAAGTTAGCTCAGGGTGCGATAATAACTGAATTATAGCCACCATAGCCAGGCTTGGTGTACGAAACATACTGCAGGTGGCTAAACAAATAGACAGTGTGTGTAAAGTTGAGAATATATGAAGGAAGTTAGGTTAACTCACGCTCCATAAGCGGGAATTGGAGGAGGCGGAGGAGCAGCACGGAACGTGTTGTAAACCGCACGACCCCGGCCCCTCAAGTGGGCACCCCTATACGCCACTGTGGCCCCTGTGGTTGGGTACGGGAAGCCCGTGACTGCAGAGAAGAGAAGAAAAGAGAGATGCAAAGAAAAAAATAAAAGTAAAAAAGACATAAGAGAAGAAAGAGGTAAAGCAAAACATAAAAGTAAAGATGAGAAGAGAGAGAGAAAGAAAAAAATAAAAGAAAAAAAGGAAGACCAGAAGAGAAGAAAAGAGAAGAGGAAAAAAAGAGAAGAAAGAGGCAAAGAAAAAAGTAAAAAAGAAAGAAGAGAAGAGAAAGGCAAAGAAACAATAAGTTTAAAGAGGAAGACGAGAAGAAAAGAAAAAAACAGAGAAGAAAAGAGATAGGCAAAGAAAAATTAATAGTAAAAAAGAAAGACGAGGAGAGGCAGAGGAAAAAGTAAAAAAGAAAGAAGAGAAAAGGAGAGAGGCAAAATAAAAATAAAAGCAAAAAAGAAAGAGGAGAAGAGAACAGATGAGAAGATATGAGAAGAGAGAAGCAAAGAAAAAAATAAAAGTAAAAAGAAGACAGAGGCAAAGAAAAAAGTTAAAGAGAAGAGAAGAGAAGAGAAGAGAAGAGAAGTGAGTAAATAAAGCTTTTCAGCCTGTACCTTCCATTCAGCTCTCAGTCAACTGTCAGTCTGACTGTGTTCAGACATAACATTCATAGCTGAACCAAAACAGCTCCCCTCTGATGTCAACTACTGTACCATGTTGTTACAACACATGTCAATGAAACAGTGCTTAGCCATTCAGGCAGAGGAACAGTTCAGGGGTCATTCTTGAGGTCAACTGAAGGCTACAGAGACAGGCATTTCCATATACTTAAAGGGAAATAAATTGCATTAGGTAGCGTGCAGGAAGGAGACTGAAAGGCATCCCTTGTCTAGGGAAACCTCTCTGTTGGGTTTGTCTCTGAAACCTTGGGCAAGGGAAGAGGGTGTGTGTGTGTGTATTTGGCTGCTCTCCCGCTCCAGCGGAGTGTGTGCGAGGCAGGGGAGGTGGTAGGCTGTTGTAGGTGAGACACAATGTGCTGGCACATGGGGCTGAAGGAGCAGATGGAGCGTATTGTTTTGAGGTGCAGTCACAGCCCGACACCATCGCTCATCTCACCCCGCATACGATCCACACACACCACTACTGGGGCCGGGGCGGTTGAGAGAGGGGACAAACCAGGGTCAACACCGGGGAAAAGTACAGGAAAGAGAAGATGTGTATGAGCGAGCTGGATTGTGTGTGTGTGTGTGTTTGTGTGTGTGTTTGTGTGTGTGTGTGAGTGACAGAGAGATAGAGTCAGACAGAGAGAAAGATGTAGAGGAGGAGGGGAGGGAGGGAGAAAGAAAAGGGAGAGAGAGGGAGGGAGAGAGAGAGAGAGGGAAGGAAGGAGAGGGGGATAGAGAGAAAGTAATAAAGAGAGCTATAGAGAGAAAGAAGAGAGAGAGAGAGAGAGAGAGAGAGAGAGAGAGAGAGTAAAAATAAGAAAGAGAAAGATACAGAGGGGGAAGAAGGGGAAGAGGGAAAAGAGAAAGAGAGAGTAACAGAGAGAAAGAGAGGGAGATAGAGAGAAAGTAAGAAGGAGCTATAGAGAGAAAGAAGGAGAGAGAGAGAGAGAGAGAGAGAGAGAGAGAGAGAGTAAAAATAAGAAAGAGAAAGATACAGAGGGGGAAGAAGGGGAGGAGTGAGAAGAGAAAGAGAAAGGAACAGAGAGAAAGAGAGGGGGATAGAGAGAAAGTAAGAAAGAGAGAGCCATAGAGAGAAAGAAGGGGAGCGAGAGAGCGAGAGAGAAGTGAGACTAAGAAATTAAAAAAAAAAAAAGAGAAAAAGCAGGAGCCAAAAAAGGTTGGAAGTGAAAGCAAATAAGGATCCAAAAAGGCTGTGAAAGATTGAATGAACAAGAAGACGGATGAGAGAGACTGATGAAGTGGAGAATATGTACCATCCTGAGTGTCTCTTTAACCTTCAGCTTCAGCGCATGTGGCCTTCATGCACCAAGGGTAAGGTCATAATTACCCACAGTACTGTGCAAGCAAAACACTTCACGACAGCGCACCCAGCCCGGCTTCTTCTCATTAATGCACCACCCTTACCGTGCTCTCCTCTCTGTCCCTGAGGACCTTGTCAATTATTTACTTTCTCAGACACAGCCACCCATTCTCCCCTCTAAACTTCACCTCATTCATTATCAGCAACTACCAAAGGCTCGCAAGCACTAGACAGGGAATGACTGAATATGTCAGGACAATCTGACACCAGATCAGAATACCTAATATCACTAATGAATTCATACTACACAGGTATGTACTAATTTGTCGTATGTTTATATATTGGTATGCATATGTGTCAATGCATATGTTGTGGCCCTATCAAAACCACCATCTAATAATACCAGCTCCTCTTTACATAGTGCGGACTTGTCATAATGAATGGATTACTAAAAACAGTCCAAAATTATTTGGAACCGTATCTTGGGTTCATTATCCTAAATTAAAAGTTATGAACATTTTTTGTCACAATGGCACTGATGGGCATGGATTCCCAGACATGGATTAAGCCTACTCCTGGACAAAATTGCAGTGCCAATGGTGCCAACGCAGGCTCGGGAAACTGACCTTATATGTACTTGTTTACTATTAAAGAATTTGCTAATAATACATGTGTTATGAATGCACTTGTATTTGTATTTGCTCTGTATCAGTGGTATGAGGACATGTTAAGTCTATGTGCTTTTTTGAGAATATCATGGATATCGTCAGTAGAAATGGCCAGGACCCACCAGTGGGTCAAAAGTCTTACAATACACTTCTACAACCTAAGAGTAACTCAGCCAGTTTGCATTGTAGTCCCAGTAATTACTGAATGATAAACCTGTAATTACTGAGTGATAAACCTTAGTATGTAATAAGCTAGGAATTTTAAGGGGTTAAAGAGACTGATTAACTACATGTTACTACCTACATGTTGTAAAACACTGAATACAATCATTGTAGTTTTAGGTTGTATTATTATTATTATTATTATTATTATTATTATTATTATTATAGTATTTTTTTCCAAGTGACACTACAGGTGCGATTTTGCTTGTCTGAACTTATCAAATCTCAGAAAAGCTAAATATTGCGGTGCATCTTGTATATCATGAAAATGTCTTGAAGGATTGTGATATAATATTGATGACCCTTAGTTATGTGCAGTCTTTTGGATAACTCTGTGCTACACATGGACGTATTTTACACAGCAGAGGCCCACTATGAACTCAAGTCAGTAAGCTATGATATCAAGAATTATGTAGACTATAGCAAGCGTGCATGCTGAGAGACGACACTTAAGGTTCAGCTGAATTTGTTTTTAAGGAGTTCTTTTTGATAGCAAGCGTAAATGCTTTTTAAAGTACAAGTATATGTATATTCATTTTGAATGTTCTCTTTTTCCCAGTCATCCACATTGCTTACTCACATAGGGAGGCTGATACCCTATGTATGAAAAGTATCCAGACACCATTTCTAATTAGTGAATTCAGCTACTGGTGCACCCATTTCCTAAACAGGCGGTACACACAGCCTGTATAATCGCCATAGAAAATTACTGATAAGATGACTGATACGGCTAGATAGATTTAAAGCCCCTCATATTGGGCTGCGGAGCAGTGGAACTGCATTCTCTAGAGTGATGGAAAACCTTCCAATGCCTTTGGGATGAGCTGGAGTGGTGTTTCAGAACTAACCATCCAACAATAGTTTCTGACCTTGCTAATGCTCTTGTGGCTGAATGCAATCAAATCCTCACAGCAAATGCTGGCTTCCAAGATGTACAGAGGCTGTTACTGCAGCAAAGTGAAAATAACTTCTTTTCAATACACTTGATTTCAGAAAAAATGTTGGATGAGCAGGTGTCTACAAACTTTCGGACATACAGCACAAAGCTGACTTAAGACTTTTGATGTAATGACTGCTACCAAAACTATTGCTCGACTAGCTCTTGAAATAAAAGCAAAAAGAGAAGGAAGTGAGACAGAGAACACCGCTCTGCAGCAGGGAGGTGTGCAGTGGCCTTTTGTCTGATGTAAAAGAAAGACAGATGGCAGAAGGTAAGGAGTTTGCTCTTTCCTTTTGATATAGAGTGGAGCTGTTGACATTTTAATTTGTCCCTCCTAAGCTATGGACGCTGGTGTTAATATGCCAAACAGCAGTGGTCTGTGATATATGCCAGGCCATGGTCAATTTATCCAGAATTCCCTTCGAATGCACCACTCTTATTTTCCCTTTGATTTTCTGTGTGCATTATGTGTGCTATGACGTACATAAATGTAATCTCATAATGAGCTATGGGTCTACATGCTGCACTGATTCAATAATAACCCATAAATCACCGCAGCCAGATATGACACCCCATAAAGCCCATGCAACAGCAAAACTATGCGTGTGCATAAATTGACTAATACCTCATATGTTGCTGTTATTTTAATGTGCGAGATAGCAAGATTAAAAGCAGGACAGAGTGATGGTCTAGCACAGAGCTTACTATTTACATATATAAATCTATTTACAGCAGGAAGAAAATGCTGTAAATAGATATGCCACAAGTCCATAGTGTCATCACTCCTGCTGCAAAGGTTCTATCGGGTTGTTTGGTATAATGACATCCCCACTTAAGACTTCTTTAGTCACTAAAGTGATACATTTTCCTCTGATTGTCTCTACAGCAGTAGTCACCAACCCTTGTCCTGAAGATCTATCATCCTGTGGAGTCTAGTTCCAACCACAGTGTACCACACCTGCTCCAGCTACTGAACTTCCTCTGAAGTCCCTGATTGGCTGGATCAGATGCATCAGTGTTGAGAAAGAGGGGGCAACATGTTAGATGCACGTTAGAGCTTAACTGTGTAGGAAAGTAGACCGCCAGGAAGAGGGTTGGTGACCACCGCTCAATACTTTTAATAAAAGCGTTCTTCAGGAGTTGTTTAGTAAAGGTAATTGTTATGTATGAAGGGTTTAATTTCAAAATGCTGTATGAAAAAGTTTGAACATAAAACACACTCAAAAAACACATTTATCTAATAAAGATAGTATTAATCATAATTTTGTTTTGATATTTCTTGCATGTATAAAGCCCACTCTCAACAACGTATAGAATGGAAAAAAAAGTTCATGAAAGCTGAGTCCTTCATGTAGAACAATGACAGTGAAGAAAGTGGTTCTTTTTTGGTGTGCTATTCTAACTATGTTGCAGTCAGTTACTCCACTTATTACATTAATTATTAAAATTTTTTTTATTACATTAATTGTAAAAATTATTATTGGGCCCGTCATCATTGTTATTATGTAGCTCCATGATGGAGAACCTGTTGTACAGTCATTTAAAAGTGGTTCTGTATGGATCCTTCAAAACACATTTTTGGGTTTTTACTTGAACTGAACTTTTTCAGATCTATTTCTTTGAATGAACCTATACCTTAATTATGTTTGTCTTTAGTAAATAAATTATTGAACATTCCATTTTGTCCCTAACAAAACAATCATAACACTACCGTAAATTTACCAGATATTTCAGTAGTGACTGTCTCGGTAGTGACAATTCTAGCCAATTTTGAACAGAACTAAAAAACGCTAGTCAGTACATGTTTAGCAAATACAGCTGCAAACAGCTGTACACACATAAAATCAGGATTTTTTTTATTAAAACAAAAAGTTTACTCATTTACAGAACATATGTGCCAGTGACCAATCTTATGGTTAGGCACTGATTTTCAGGCTTTGGGACACATCTACTTCAGAATACTGGGATCTAACTGTTCACTGTGCAGCCATGAGGGACAGGGAGGCAGTCTCACTTCCTGTTCTAAAATGCAGGGGTGTGGCTAAAATAAGGCTTGGCAAGTTTTTTTTCTCCTTTTTACTCCTACAACAGCAGTCCGACCAAACTTTTAAATATACCGAATATCAGCTGAGTGTGTGATTTACTGCATGAGAGACCAAACATGTTTGGAAATAAATGTTAAAATATCTTTTAATCCTCAATGACGTCTTACTGGGAAAATTATCACCAGAGTGATTCAGACGTTGTGTGATTGTGTTGTGTTATGAATCGCTACCACCATTTTAAAATTAAGGAGGTATGTGGCCACACCTCGCATTGTGCAAACTGTAAAACTCACCAGTAATCTGTTTATGAACAAGCGACTGCATCACTGCCATGCTATTTACTCTTAATGTCAACGTAGATCTGGTGATGTGTTTTATGAATCTACCCTTTTGTATTTTGGTGGTGGAAACATGGCACAGCATTGTTTGAATAAAGTTTTTTTGTGTATTTACAAATTCATGATAAACACATAAAAACCCATGATAAATATTTCAACTTCAAAAATGATCTACAAAAGACAAAAATAAAATAAAAAAAAATCCCTATTATTCTTATAGAACTTAAGTTGAAATTTCCGAGTTAGAGTTTGTACCATCCACCTCCCAACAGAAGGTACCCTATAAATGATGATTTTGTATATTTCTAGCTTATTACTATCTCTATTAATGCCTTAGGTTTAAACAGATCACAGCGTCTGAATACTTCGTTTTTTTAATTATTTTTTTCCTAACTCTGGGACTGCAGAATGGTCCATATAGCACCAAAAATGGCTGTGCTATTGTTATGGCATACAACCTGTTTTGTTTCTATATAAAACATTTTTGTTAATACTGCAGACAAAGACTTTTAAGCACTTCTCCACTGGGTAATATTTTCAGATAATTAGGCTACAGAAACCTGCATGTTTCCTAATCCTGTTAGGAATTTTGTTTCCTAAGACTGTTTGGATTTCTTTAAAACTGTAATCAGCCATTGATTTTAAATGACTGATTTACACTATTTGAACTGCAATAAAAATATCTAACAGAAGCACACACACATACATATATGTACACATGCACACACAAACACACACTGAAGCTGCTTTGTGACAATATTACTCAGTGATAACAGATGAGGTCACTCCTGACTGTGTCATTGCGGAGTTGGATCAGTTGGACATGGCTGCGAGTCAAACACATGTCACCCTTCCCACTTGCAAATGTTTTAGCATCTATTTAAAAAACAAAAAAAAATGGCACTATTAATATTTCCCTCCCATCTACTTTGCATTTTAATCTTATTTGTTGTGTTGGGCTCAACATGCTGCCAAGCGCTGAATACATTGGCTGAGGACGCAGTCAATCAATCAATATTACATTTCTCCCGCTGTCCTTCATGCACGTGCACCCAGCGCAGGCTGACGGACTCAAGAGAAAAGACCTTAGATTACACAATTAAGTTCCCCAAGCAGGGGTCAGCGGCTCAGCCCTCAGCCCGGGCTTAGCTCTATCCACTCCGCTTAGACTGAGGAGAACAGGCAGGCAGCGAGGATGAGAGGAGCGAGAGAAAAAAGAGCAAGAAGAAAAATATCTGTGATTCTGAAAGAGAAATAAAGAGTAGAGGGAGGGAGAGAGAGAGATAAAGAGAGAGAGAGAAAGAAAGAGAGAGGATGGTAAGAAAGAGACAACAGGCTGGATCTCTGAAATGTATGCAGGGGTTGAAGGGGTGATAACAAGAGAAGAGAAGAGAGACATGGAGGAATGAGAGGGAAGCGAGGGAGGGGGAAAACAGGAATAACGGGATCGGGGGACGGAGGGATAGGCTGGCTGCGGGAGGGAGAAGCCCGACTTCCCTGGAAGAGGTTAAAAGCAGGCAGTCAGCGGCCCTCATCCGTCATTCTCCTGAATGGGATTTGAGGACAATAAACCTGTAGCGCCAGGACGAATGGAGACGGAGTGCGCTGTCAGCACCGCACGATTTATGGTGCCCAATTTCGCTGATCTCCCGCACAGAAACTAGGACTGATAAACAGTGATTAATCACCTTTACATCCGATTTCAGCCCCCCATCCCCCAAAGTATATTAAATGTAGCCATAATTATTCCACAACAAATACATGGGCCACCTCTATTTTATTTATTTATTTTTTTTGAAAGGCAGAGAGGAGAAAGTGCTAGCAGGGGTGGGGAGGGGTGATTTTGGACCTACGGTTGGGCTTTTCTAGAAGAGTGCCTATTTAGTCAGGAAAATCTATATCTTATTTCCATTTTTTAGCCTCTCCACCGCCATCCCTGGGGAGCAGGGGAGGCATATGGTGTCGTTTAGGCTTGGCAAACTTTAGTGGCATGTTAAGACGACGTGAAAAATTAGCATCCAATAAATCAAGTGCACTGGCTTTCCCAGCCAAGCCGCTGAAGTGGTGGACCACAGTAAATCTGATTTGATGGGATGTTTTGAGGAGGTTTGTGTATATATGTGTGAGTATATTAGCATAAGGGAAGCAGCATGGAGTAACAGGAAACGGAAGTGTGCATTTTCATAGATTTTATGATTTAGTTTGTTTGTTCTGTGCTTTCACGTTACACTGAACATAGTTTATATGCACCATATTTGAGTGTGCTTATATGCATGTTTAATGAAAATATTACATATTACATTAACCATACTATAGCAGGTCAGCATGGTTACTGTAGTAACCATTTACAGTTAACGTAGTACTACAGTAACCATCCTATACTATGCTAGAGTAGTACAGTATAATTACTATAGCACTACAGTAACAGACTATGCATGCTTGTATGAGCAGGTGTGGGAGAGAAGTTTGGAGTAATAATGATATGTTACTGATTGTGTGAGCACATATCAGCAGGTGTGTCAGGCTGAGCAAGAGAAAGAGAGGGAGAGGGAGGGGAAAAGAAGAGGTGGAGGGAGAGAGAGAGAGGGAGGAAGTGGGGGAGGGAGAAGGAGTGAAATGAAAATGATAAATGACTGCTTTCTGTCACAGACAGTTATTTAGAGGTTCGCTGTAAAGCTGTCCTGGAATGAACAGATTTTAGTCTAATGAGCAAAAAGGCAGGCCGTTAAAGTGGTGCGATGTGCTCAGCACTTCTTCCAAATGAAATAATACCATTTCCCCCTCATTAGGATGCAAAGGATCCGAAGAGCACACAGCAATAAAGAAATCAAGAGAGCAGCGGAAGAAAAAAACAACAACAATATGACAAAAAAGTCAACACTCTTCATTTAACTAAACCAGCAAAGTTCTCTAAAGTGCCGCACACGTACAGGATGGTAAGTAAACAACACAGGACCTTGTTTTCTTCTCGTCAGCTAGTTAGCAGCTAAAAGAAAAGCACAGCATGAGCCCGTGGAGCTTTTTGAAATTAACATGACGGTAGGTAGCACACAGGTAGTGCTTTTGTGCTCAGAAGCCATTCAAAAAGAAAAACTTCTTGTGTGGCACTTAACTTTTTGCTTATTTAACCAACACTAAATAAAATGTTTGCTAGTGCTGCTCCGATGTTAGCTCTGGTGTTACTAATAGAGTCACAGAAAGACTTTATTTAAGACAGTCTTGCAATTTGCAGAGTTTTCTGAGATTTGAGAGGCTTTAATGATCAAAAAAAAACACGCAGTTTACCTGCATAAAATTCAGGACCATAGACAGCTCCCACCACTGGGTTCAGCTTCCAGCCTATAGAGAACACATATGGGATGACAAATTAGTGCTTATTGCCTTAAACTAGCAAGTGTTTGTTTTTGAGAGAACTTTCTTTTTAGTGGAACTCTGAGTGGGGTCAAGAAAGCACCGAGGGGCAATTCTCCCCCCCAAAAAAAAGGAAAAGACATATAAGTTCGTAAAGATAAAAGAATAAAGGAAGGGCAAGGTAGGGGAAGGAGAGGAGAAAAGATTAGATGATATGACTGAAGAATATTGAAGTCAACATTAAGTTAGGAAAGAGCATTGGAGAAGGCAGCACTGGAATAGTGAAGAGACTGTAAAGAGAAGGAGAGGGCGAGAAAGGGGGAGAGAGAGACAGAGAGAGAGAGAAGTGAGTGCTGTCCAGTGCGCTGCCAATGATGGATGGGGGCTGTAAAATGGCCTCCTCGCTCTCTCCTGATTGGTTGACTTGAGTAGTGCTGGGGGGTCCATGCTGCTTTCACTCCCCCTCGCCCTCCTCCACCAGTCTAGAGGAATGAGTTTCAGTGAGGTGCACAAGGCTCTGTAAATGGTCCTGTGCGGAGTGACCCTTAACTTTTTCACACAGTCTATTTGGTAAAGTAGTGGCACCTAAATTTGATTGAGGTTGTGGAAGAGGTGGGGAAAAGCCACACTGGCTTGAATGTGGGCTGTAGCTTTGCGTATTGGTAGCATGCTCCTGATATGGAGTCACATTTGGCAGGACATTACCGTTCAGGTGCACGCAAAAAAGGAGACCTATGCAAGCTCCGCCCACAAATGTGTTCTTTAGTTGTAACGCTTCTGGGCTTGGACAAGCTTTACAGAACTTTGGAAAAAATCTCATTCAATGAAATGAATTCAGGTTGGAATTACAGGATTTACTCACCAAACCTGATTTATTAATTTCATTTTCTCAATTCTAATGTGTGCAACAGATGATATCTTGGACACTACATGAGATTTTTTGTATGATATAAATGTGATGTTATTTTATTGGCTCTGTTCATTTTCACTTGTCAACATGAACCCACCTGACCAATCACTGTTATCTCTGGTGTTGACATGGCCTGAATGAGGAGTTGAAACATGCCGTTTGGTTTTCCATGATGGAAAACAGTCTACCCAGTGTCACTACCCAGTGTTTTTTGGTGAGGAGCAAAGGATTCTGTGCGCTAGCTGTTTTTTTTGCAGTGCAAATAACAGGGTAATATGCAAAAACATTGGGCTGAATCTGGTGCATATAGTTTTGATGAAAGAAAAAAAAAATAGTGTCCCAACATTTTGCATTTTTGCATCGTTTATTCACACCACATTTGGCGGAATGGCCTTAAAAAATGTCATGTAATGTTGAGATTTTAGGTACACTATGCCATCAAGCTGGCATAATATGACGTAATATGCTATGCTACCGAGGTGGACTACTTTGAAATGATTTTACATACATACAAAAAATGAAATTAAGCATTCAGACAAAAAACGAATGCTTGAGCTTCTAATTAGGTTGGATTTTTTCCAGTGTTCTGCGAAGTTTGTCCAACCTCGCAACAGCTGCATGGCTAGGTCAATTCCATGTGAATGTAACATGATGTGTGAAGGAAAAAATTATTGAAAAGCACTTACCATTTGTGTAGGGATTAGCCACTTTTTTGTTTGTCATTACTCTTGCTGTTGCATTATTTACCTGCATGGAACAACACAGTGTTAGAAACAATCATAAAAAAAGGCAGACTATCATACAATCAGTGAGATCAGACTTAGTTGAGAATTTCTCAACTCAAACAAATCACCAGTCTACTGGTTGCCATGCAAGATATTAACAACTCATTCAACTTTGATCAGATGGACGTGCCAGGACATCAGGAAATGGCACAGATTATCAATTTAACAAAAGCCAGAGCATTTCAGAAATCCCCATAAGCAAGAACAAGGGCGTCTCCTTATGACTTTCCTCTGCAATTGAACCTACTACATTGTCTAGACAGTTGCAGATTCCCAGACATTATGGCCCTGAGGCTGAGGCTTCATGAGTGGTAAACTGAAGCTCAGGAAGAAGCAGTCATTTCGTATAAGCTCTGCTCACAGCCTGCGACACAGAGAGCATGAGCGCTTCTCCTGGAGGTGGGGGCTGCTGTGGGAATTCAAACATGGCCGCTGGCAACAGGAACCATGTTAGTATTTCACCCTCATGTTAATTAGCGTTAATAGCTTTCCTTTCCACTGGGCCACTGGAGGTCATTTAGCTTTAAGAAACAACTGGCCTCGACTCTCCCTTGATATATAGGCCTTGGTATTGTTTGTACATTATGTGAATTATCTTAATTGCCCTATGGAAAATCTTAATAGCATTGTGGAAAGGGAGGATGTGAGAGAGAGAGCAAGAGAAAAAGGTAATTTGAGAAAAGAGAGAGAGTGCTGTATGTGCCCTAGAGAATGGGGCACATAAGAGGAGAAATAAACCTTGTCTGTCCTTGTCTGTTTGGGGTAAACAAGTGAGATTTAAAGCAATGGCTGCAGCACTTTTGATTTTCTGATCTGGGCTTAATTAAAACGTATATTTTCCAGGGCAGAGCGAAAGCCTAGCGTGCACATGTGTGTTTTGCAAGCAACAACAAATAGTTCAAACAGCCTCCTCCAACAAACTTGCACACATACATCAAGGCCAGCAAGTTCAAACCTGAAGCTGTTTGCTGCACTTATATATCAAGCAGTGCTCTGATCTGATCATGCACTCTTGTGACCACACATAATTTTAAATTCTTTATCTGAGGCCCCCATGTTAGTAATAATTCATAACGGGGCCTAGGCACTGGATCTCTTCATTTCTTGGTGAAAAAAAGACGGTACAAACTTAAGGACATACATGATGGTAGGGCTGAACGATTAATTTCAAGAGCATTTTTCAAATCACAAGAGCTGCTATTTTTATCACATCCTACATTGTTCCAGTTTTAGGTGGGGAAGTTGACCCTAATAACAGAAAGGCTGTAAACTAGCAGTATGGTACATTACATTCAGTGTTCAAGCCTCACACCTGATGGTCTTACTGAGGATAAAAGGACTGGAGATGAATTCACATTTTAATCTCTACTGGTCAGAAAAAAAATCACTCTTAGATATTTTCCCAAAATCGTTCAGCCCTACATGATGCTACCTTTTAAACAGGCATTCAGAAAATATGATGTAACTGCAGATAAAAACTTACCCTTGTGCACTAAACCCACAAACCCACAAACACAAATATTCATTCAAACACAAACATGCATCATGCGAACTGACATCAGGTCAGGTAGAGCATTAGTAGAGAAAAGAGGCAGTAAGGCACCGGCAGGCAGACTGTGGGTGGGGTTAAGGATTTAGGAATTAGGAAAGCACCTCGATTTTGCGTCCCTCTACGATTGTACCATTTAGTTTCTCCCGTGCGCGATCCGCATCTGCACTCGTTTCAAAAGTTACAAAACCAAAACCCTGGGGGGTGACGTGGGTTGGCCAAAAAGGACAGCCACAAAACAAATGAAATGAGAAAACAAATGAAGCCAGATAGAAAGAAAGGGCAGAGAGAGAGAAAGAAAGAAAAGGGAAAAACACACACTGTAAGCAGAGTTGCAAGAGGGAAAATGATAAGCATTAGTCACAGGTGAAATTTCAACCACTTAGAGTGAGGCCTGCTAGAGAAGAGAGATCTAACCAAGCTTAACTAGCAGAAACTACAGTATTCTACATTCTAATAGCCAAAATGGACAACAGTGACACAGATTTGAACAATGCAATACTGTCTGCATGCTTTTGCGATTGCAGTGAGATTAGCACGTTGTAGGAACACATATCTACATTACCTGATCTACTTAAAATCTATTGAAAAGAATCCTTTTCTGTGTTTATTCAATGATGATAGTTCCTTCACCTTCATGTTAGTTAAAAAATGTTTAATTTTTGTTGGTCTAACAGCTGCTTAAAAGGCTATTGTGCTATTGAAGTCCATTCAATCCAAATATACCACTGCCACAACCATGGATATTATTCTATTATTAATTCTATCAAAAAACAGCTACAATATTGTCATGAGATGCAAATGCATCAGCTCTTAAGGACTTAACATAAGTTAATAGGGGTGGGAATCTTTAGGCACTTCACGATTCGATTTGATTATGATTCAGAGGGCTGCGATGCGATTATAAAATGATTATCGATTATTATTTTTTTTCTGTACAGGATTTCTATTTTCTCACTGTGTGAGGACTCTGTGTGAGGTAGTTTTAAAGCAAAGTATTTGTAATGATCCATAATGCATTTACTTCCAGTATCTTTTATTAATAAATCAAATGGAAGTGATCTAGAAGACTCATTCGCTGCTCTTGTTTGAGACACTGCTGCCACTCATCTGCGATAAAATGTGCTGTTAGGGTGAAATAAGATCCTGTGGTAATGGATGTACCCGTTTAATTCAGTGACTTTATAACTTAGGTTTTGGTCTCGTTGTAGAGAGGGGGGATCGCTGTGTCAGTAAAATATTTTCGAGACTGGAAGCTGAATCTCGGCTCCAAAGTGTGCTGCATAGCGCGAAAGCCCTGGTTCTCAATGACTGAGAAATGGTGTGCAGACTGCAGGTCACATAGCAGTGAAGTCTCGCATCGCTGGTAGCGAACAAAAAGGCAAAGAGAGAGATTTAACCTAGCTAAGACAAACATTTGGAGATGAGTGGACTTTTCACGTTTATAAGCGGCGCAGTTTCCTGGAACGTTAAATCTTCAACGAGAGACTGTCAAACACTAAAAAGTTGCAAAGATGAAGTCGCTTCTCTTTCGAATTTCCCTGTTCCACCTTAAATGGTGCAACAGCTACATTCGGCGCCTCAGGCAGGATTTAAGGTGGAACGGGAAAATTCGAAAAAGAAGCTGGAGAATGAGAAGAGACTTCAGCCTCATAAAACAGCCGAAGATTGAGAGGCATTTTACAATAAGCTGCTCTACTTCTGAGGAAAAGTTTCCTGATGGAAAGGGGAGGAAAGCGGCTATAGCTGAGCTAAAGCTTAAAGCGGAGCAAAGTAAATCTGCGCTCTCGTTTATATTTTAACCTATACTAAGACAGCACACCCTGAGACATACCAGACATTAAATGTTGTGGCTCCCAAGGTGGTTTGATTTTTGCTGAAAGGACAAAATGGCTCTTATTATCATTTGGGTTGTGACTCCTGATCTAAACTGGCTTTAATGCAGAGGGAGCCGGTCGGATTTCTCACTCATCCAGTTGTGTTTTTGTTATGTGCCGCTACAGACTGTCCGGACGCTGCACTTACCCACTTCCAAGTTCCGCATTTTGCGTTCCATCAACGTTACGGAATAAATAAAATATTTAGAAAATCGATTTTTGACATTTATGAATCGATTCAGAATCGTTCACGTCCGCATCGCGATGCAACTAAGAATCGAGTTTTTCCCGCACCCCTACAAGTTAAAAACAGTGGCCTTAATAACCTCCCCTGTATATTTGTTTTTTTATTTATTTATTTATTTATTTATGTGGTCTTTCTAAACTTATGTCACTATAGCCACACCAGTTTTTGACTGCATTTACAAATTTCTGTCCGTATTTAAAGGTAAAATGTGATCTCTGTAATACATTGAATACATAAGACGTGAGCAATATGATGAATAAACCTTTGTCCATTTATACTGAGGACATTGTTACTGTTATGTCAAAACCTCTTTAAAACCATTTCAAACATCGGCTGCCCTTTTACACTGTGTAAATATCTTGCTAAATCGATGAAAAACATTTTCTCCTTTTCCTATAAAATTATGATTTCAAAGATTTTTATAACAGCAACAATATGCATTAATTGTGAACTTTGGGTGTCTTTAAATGAGCTTTATCAACATGGCTGAATGCACTTAAGCAAATATGCTAGCATTACCTTAATCTGTCTGTAATTAGTATTGGTGTAGATGATGATGCTATACTACATAGCAGGTCTGTGCATTGCTGTGCTACATGCACCTTGAATAACCCTGCACACACACACACTCTCTCTCGCAGGGAAGAGCCCTCTTCATCTTCCCCCTTTGGCTGCTGTCAGCTGTGAATTATGGCCAGCCACAGCCCAAACACCATATCCTGCACCGGCTATTAGATATGCACGGCAAACAAGAGCGCGGAACAAGCTCCGGCCTTTTAGTTCATATACACTGTGCAAGTATGGCCTGGTAATTGCTTTGGGAGATAATGCATGAGAGCGGGTGTCTGGCGGCATGATCTCGTATGTACACGTCGGATCGTCTTCTTCACTTCTGCCATAAATATAAGCCAGCCCAGCCATTCTAGGGCCAAACGAAATGATAAAAATAAATTTAAAAACAAAACTGCGAGTAAAATTAATCCTTTTGACATTCCGTGCTACCACGTTCAGCCTTAGTGTTTTCCCCCACTGTCTTTATTACAGTAAAGTAATTGCCCTAGGTATGTTCCGCCTACAAATATGGTATTTTGTTGAGAGATTGGACAAGCTTTACAGGATGACTGCAAAAATTCCATTCAACCTAACGAGAAACTGTAGAGCACAAATTCTGTTTTGTCAAAATGCCTAAAATTAGAATGTGTTATTGATTTCAAATGATATTTTGAATGCTTGTGAAATGTCTTACTGTTAGAATAGAACAGGTGTAGTTTTTGGTGTAATCAATGTTAATGTTAGCATGATAGCAAATTCATTTTTGCTTTTAACCTGCCTAGCTGCAAGTAGCTACTAATACTTACGTATAGTCCAGTTTAGTACCACAGTATTCTTCAGTAGCGCAGAATATTTTAAAATGGAAACTCTATATTAATTACTGACTCAAAGTCAGTGTCAGCTTCATGGATCCTTTTCACACTTCCATATTTATATTTATTCCATAAAACATGAAAGCAATGGCTGTATTTATGAATAAGAATGTAGAGTATTAAAGTATTTACTTTATTTTACTAATTTTATCATGGAAGTTTCATTTTCAAAATCTGCTACACCAAAACAATGGTATCTTTTGTGGAACAGTTAGGGAAACACCTTCATGACAAAATAAAAACAAGTGAGTCCTCTACATCCTCATTCATAAATGATGCCACTGCTGTACTGTTTTCCCTACTGTGATGACTTCCTCCATGTTGAATACGGAAGTGCATAAAGTGCCTATGGAAGTGCTTACTGTCATTCTTTCTCCCATGACATGAGTGAAACCCAACAGTATCATGCTGAATAGTAGTTTTGCCAAAGTTCTGTAAAGCTTGTCCAAAAGCTGCTTTGAAAGAATGCACTTGTAGGTGGAGCATGGATAAGTCAATTAGCTTACAAGGCCAAACAGTGGAGGCACTACTACACTGTTATTCATAAGCTGAGTGGCAGAGGGAGGAAGGCAGGTAAGAGAAACTCTCCTCTGGGAAATGAGTCCTGTACGAGCTGGAGCGAGTGTGTGTCTATCTGGAAGAGTGCTTTTAAATATCCCTAACAGCTAATGCATGAGACTTCCGTGACTTGAAGAGACGAGTCAGTTTATATCAGCGTATGACAGCTCTAAAAGGAGAATCAGTGTGCAGTGGTCAGACACCCACTTCATTGAATTATAACTGGGTGAGTTGACTCTAACTCAGCTGAAACCACTCACTTGTCTGTGCGCACAGCTACCTTTCAGAGAGTGTGTCTTGGCACAGCGCAAGTGTGTGTGTGTGTGTGTGTGTGTGTGCTATGCGTGTGTCACTTTGTGGCTGCTGTGTGAGAGCTGTAATTACTTGGCTCATGAAGGGGAGAGGGGACCTGTGAGGGGAGAGAGAGAGAGGGATGAAGTGACAAAGAGCTGCTCTTCCAGCTGACTTACCTTAGAGCCCCGCTCGTTAAAAATAATTTCCACATCTAAAATTTTCCCAAATTGCTGCAGAAAAGAAAGGGAGAGGGGAGAGAGAAAGGAAAGTAGAAAGACAAGGGGAAAAGAGGGAGAGAGAGAGAGAGAGAGAGGGAGTGAAAAAGAGAGAAAGGAGACGGAGTAATTAGAACTCATCTCTTTTGCACTTTGTCAGGAAACTTGAGCACTTGATTGCAGAGCTAACTAAAATAGAATACCCACTGCTCTATGGAAGCTACTCCCTTAGTAGAGAAGCTCCACCAAAAGCTGCTCTCTGCTGGACTAAAATTACACAGACAAACAGAATTCACAAACACTTTTATCAGTGGCCAGCCATCGGAATGTGCTAAATGGAGCTAGCTGATATGGCTGAGCTCCTGGAGAGAGAGAAAGAGAATTCCTGTCGGTGCACTGTGGAGAAAAGGAACAGGCCATTCTGCTGATGGGTGAAAATTTTTAAAAGATCACAGCACTAGCCTGCTGTGTATGCACCAGTGCTCTTAATGACAGACAATGCCTTGTTATTTTCCGTGGTGTTTTTGACTGATAAAAGGCTGGCCGAAGCCACGGGAGAACGTATTTCTGGCATGACTTAACACCCAACACCCCCTCTCAATTAAAAAGGATAATTGGACATAGAGGAGCCATCACAGGCGATGATTTGTTTATTATCGCTGTGATGAATGCCGTCCTCGTAATTACCTGTCACATTGGTTATTATTTTCCAGCCATTTGCCCTCCGTTCTGCATCTTTATCTGATTGTCATTCTCTTGCCCCTGAAATGCCCAATCCCTCTTTTTTATTTGCTAATTAGCATTAGCCAGCAGGCGCTGACCACTCCCTCATAGACAGGGCACTGGCTGGGAATTGGTTTTTGGACCCAGCGTGAGGTTTATGGATTTGCGGCCTGGCTGCTGTCCAGGAGAAGAGGCCCAAACTCTCCACCAGAGCTGGCCTTTGACTTGGAGGGGCGCTGCCCTGGAATCTGATGGCCTTGCTGCTTCGATGAGGACCGCAATGCTCCGTGCACAGGGTATCATCGTGGAGAAGCACTTAAGTGGCCTAAAGGTAAAGCATGCGAGGTCAAGAGGAACTGTAGACTCATGAGGGCTGATAAAGGCCTTCCCTCCTGGAAGCAGAACAGGCCGCTCTGTGTTAACCCTGCTTGCCTTATGCTAATCAGGAGCCTTGGTTAGATATCTCCACCATGAGACCTTGAATCAAGCAGCTTTATTTCAATAAATAAATAAACATGCCAGAGCAAATCAAAGCAAGGTCACTGCAAGCAGGGGAAGAGGAAGCTAAAAAGTTGTTCTCCAGAACATTCTACTCAGGCTTAAGTAACAGGTTGGATGACAAATATCAGAAGGCAACCAAGCTCAGGGGGACACAGCTAAGAAAAAACTCAGGAAGTATACGTCTGTAAGTACACTGTAAATCCAAATGTTTAGGCTTTTTAATGTGTCACTGTGTTTAGACAACCCGCAACCCTATTTGAGAACAAAGATTGACCGCAACATTAAATAAACAGGCTTAAAATCAACCTGAAATCAAAACTGCCTTTTTACCTTGTTAGATAAGCATAATTTATTATCATCTCATTTAAAGGACTATAAACCAGCATCATGACCCACCCACCACCCCTACCCTGGCTAGCTCAGAAATTTTCTTAAACCTGGAAATATAGGTACAGAAGGAATATACATTATGACCCAATTCATGTTGATTTGAATGATCATGTGTATTATTTGATGCTTCAGTCAAGCTTTCTCAGTTTTTTCTTAAACAGGGTAACAGCTCAACACTGACAGAAAGTGTCACAGTACAGTGTCTAGAACCTAAACATTTGAATTTACAGTGTACAGCTGTATACAAGTACAAGTAGGACGGGGAGTCCTGCGCTATGCTAGAAAAGCAGGTGCAGTTAAGCAAAATGGGTAACTGTGACATGTTGTCTTTTCTTTCTTCTCCTCCACCTTGGTGGCCGCAGGGGAGAAGGGACGGGCAGGCATTGTGGCAAACATTCCCCTGAGGGCCAACGGGGCCTAAGCATTCCATTTAACGGGGCCTGCTTTGGAGATCATTACAGAACGCTGCAGAATGAAAGCGAAACCTTAAGTTCCTCTAATGGGTGGAATGAAAGCGGATTTTAATTGCTGTCTACAATGGCCGTATTATTTCATTAAAACTAATTACCCTGTCAAGCAAGCCGCGTCGGCTTCATTTCAGCACAACAGGGAAGAAATGGGCCTTCCAGGCACTGCGCGGCTCAATGGGATTGATCGAGGGCTCGGGTCACTAATAAGGTTAAGAAGAGCTGCCTTTTATCCATCCAGCCGTGGGGAGAGACCAGCACTGATTTTGTATGTGTGCGAGTATGTGTATATTGGAGATGAGGAGGGGGTTTTGTCTCTGTCAACAAAGCACATGGCACTAATCGTAACTGACTGTGCATGTGCAGGGAGAGAAAAGCTAGCTGACTGGTGAAACGGCCAGATTCTGTTCAAGCTTGGCCGGCCGCAGGACCCGACCTGTGTCTCCTCCGCTCGCTCCTCAAAGCTCATTTTTCCCAGCCCAATTCAAATTTCAGAGCCAAAAATCCAAACAGCTGCTACTTGACACAAATCCCTCCATTTGTTCAAATTAAGGCATGTTTTTTCCCCCGCCAGAGCCGGCATCAAGCATGTCCATTTGCATCTCAGCGTGAAGCTGCTCATGACCGCAGACAAGTCACTCTAAACAAAGTCTGCGGACGCTAATGGTTTTAACCCGCCCTAATGGGCTTACCGAGCTGCTGAAATATTTCCCAGTGAAGTCATCTCTACTGGCTCCCACACACCACAGGGAAGTGCTCCCACCACACACCATTCACAGTGGGCTTTACCATCCACAATCACCCAACAGCAGAGAGATTTAATAAGAGCACAGGCGAAATTAGGATCAATGGGAAACTGCGCCGAGGACTGTGGGCGGTCCTCATATTGTAAGAGTCGGCAAACTGCTCCAGTCGTGTCGTTTGGGGTAAATTGCCAAATATTTCCGCTGTGAAAGCTGTGAAAGCTGGGAGAGATGCCTCATAAAAAACTAGTCAGCAGTGTATAAATCCGCTATTAAAACAATCTTGAATACTCTGAATCCACAAAGCTACTAAACCAGTGATTAGAAATAAGAAGGCATCATTATAAACCCATTACACAGACACTTTGGTAACCTACAGAAACCATATGGGTGCTATCTCCTTATCAGCCTCTGAAGACTGCAGGTAAACCCTGGCATGGCCCTGGGTGGCTAACATTAGACATCTATTAGGAAGAACTTGCTCTCATTTAGGTGCAGCAGTATCAGTTTGTTAATTGGCTTAATATGGAATTAGTGAAAGGTGCTACACTGAGCCTTTTTTCCTTGTTATTGTCACGGCAGTGCCTTAAAGTGCAGTTGGTGGCCGTCTTCATTGCCTGAGTAGTTACAGTTTAATGAAAGCTCCTCAGGCGCTGGATGCTCAGAGTCGTGGAAACACAGGAGGGTTTGAGTGGGGAATCTGACATTTCAATCACGTTCCAGCAGCTCCTGTGTGGAATCGCCAAGGTGGTGCTTTAAACCCCATTTTATTCACCAACATTAAGCCCTCATACTCATTGGTGTAATTGCTTTGGATGTCTTTTTCTAATTATAAAATTAAGCTCAAATAAGGTTGGGTAATGAAGCTTGTTTAATTTTCATTCTTTGTTTGACTATGTCCCATGCCAATGTACTCAAATGTGGAAATAGAGTCATCAAATTAGAGGTTTGAGAATCAGCTATTCTAAATTGAATTTTCATCCCTCTTGGATGAAAAGATCAAAAAGTGCCATCTCCCCACTAAAGCACATGTTTAAACTCTAAGTTGAGATGAATGTATATTTTTGTAAGGTTTTGATTGGCTCTACTTTTGGAAGCCCAGTGGTCCCTTCTAGCAAAATGAAGTTGATATGGCTGATATTAGGCTCATTTCCCAGACACAGATTAAGTCTAATTTTGGACTAAAAAAGTTTATAGAGATGGAGATTCACAAATGGCCGTGTTACATAGTGCAAAACCTGTACATGTCTGGGAAATGTACCCATTAACCTCTTAACTTCCTTTCCCTACACCTATAAATTAATAACTAATGTATTTTATTAGTTTTTCATGTAGATACTGAATAACAAAACACAACATGCAAACGTAGATTTTAGGCATTAATGTGTAAACTTGTATACTTGCATTGTATTCAGTGGACTCAATTATATCAGCAATCTGTTTACAGTCTTTATAAACAGTGTATAAGACAAAAGACAAGCAGGTGTACTTAGAAGCAGCCAACAACAAAAGTGTGGTTTAATTCAGTGTTAATTGTTTCTCACTGATAAAACATTTATGTTGTGAAACAAAAGATATTCTTTAAATTTTTGCAAGCTTTTGCTCCTGATGAGGGGAAATATCTAAGTAATGCAACAAATATAGAAACAGTGTGCCAGGCTACTCACATCTGGTGTAGATAACTTACAATGGGAGTGTTCTGGATTTGTCATTGTCATTCACAACTCTTGCTGTCAGGACAAGATGTTATTAGTAATAGTTCTTTTCTTTTTCTTATATTCTTATTCATTATTTTATATTAATTTTAATGGCTGCTTGTCACTGCTAGTCGCTGTGGATTGGTACTTTGGGAGATATTGGCACTCATAGAATGCCTCTCATCCAATCGCACTGCGAGGCAGTGACTCACTGTGGTATAATTCTGTTTACATAGCAAAACAAAAGTAAGAACTTTCCACTTCTAAGGGTTAAAATCGGGCCAGTCACTCTGAACAGCAAGGAAGGAGCGAGTTCTCAGCAGAGGATTGGGCGAGAGTATTTTTGGGGGTTTTGAGCTATCAGTAGACTGAGCTCCATCTCCTGTGCTGCTGTCAGTCCTCTCCACTGGCCTGCCTGAACTCAAGCAGCATCCGTATTTTTGTGTTGTTCATGTAGGATTGTAGAGCTGCAGCATGCTTGTCCATCTCATCCACTCCCACTAGTCTGTCCATGACATGCAATAATTGTGCCCTTGGGTCCCTGAGAGATTTCACAGCAAGAGTTGCAACAGCATCTCTTACAAACACACAAACACACTTGCAGAAACACGCACATACACACACACACATGGAGGAGCTGTCAGCAAACAAACACCTAATGAGGATACAACTCCCACTTTTTAAGCGCACTGAGAGGCACTATTAATTATGTCTCCACTGGTGGGACCTCTCCACGGCGCCCTGCTCGTCACATCAAGGCTGGGCAGAGAGGGAGAGGAGCGGAGGGGAGTGAGAGCGAGCGTCTCTCTGAGGGAGAACAAAGAGCGGAGGGAACAGATGTTCTCCAGGCTCAGCACTCACACTGAATCCACAGCCCTTCATCAGATTAAATGCCACTGTTGTCTATACTGTGCCTTCAGTAAACACTGACTCCAACTCTTAACAAGCTAAGACCAACAGCAATATGTTTTTCTTTTTTTTTTTGTCCCCCTCCCAGTTTTGTTTGTTGCTTCCAGTAACAAGCTGCCAGTGCGTAGCGTTTAGCTGGGCTCCCTCGCTGGGTGCTGCTAATTCAAAGTACTCTGGAGTTAAACTCTACATCTCTCCCGGTCTTAGAGAGACAGGCACGGCTGTTATGGATATGAAAGTGCACAATTGCTAAGGGTCTCTTATCTCTCTTGGCTTTAACTTACTTTAGGGGCATACTGGAACACACTGTAAACACATTTCCGTTACTGTGTTCTGTTTTGATTTACATAAAATGACCAACAAGACAACACATAAATATTTTAGGCAACATGGTTATGACAAAAAGCTTGTAAAAACACCCATTACTTTAGAAATTCCATCTAACTACCCTGTGTTAGAGCCAAGTATTTGCTCTCTAACAACTTTCTGTGTCTGTAAATCATGCGATTTTGCAAGATTCTTAAGGCTAAAGAGAAAAACTGAGTAGTGAGCCTTAGCAAAGTATAAATGTGCATAATTCTGTGTATAGCCTGAGCCAGAATCCTAACCAGTGAACTGGCCCCATTCATGCTCTGCTCACAAAAGCTTTTATAGCAACTGTTGGACCAGTTTTGCAGAAATATATTTAAAATATTGAGAAATTGTAGGGCACAATGACATTTTTTGTCAATTTAAAGTGTGCTGTTCATTTCTAATAATACATCTTTTGTATGTGTATGAAAGATCACACTGTTAGGATAGATTGTGTGTAGCTCTTTGTCATGTCATTTCATTAATGTTAGCATGTTAGCATAGCAAAAATGTCATTGTCCTTTTCAGCCTACAGTTTTGATGAGCTACATCAATCAACTTAGTAGCACAGCATTTTGAACTGAAAACTGAAAACATTCTTTGCTTAGTGACTCTAAAAAAAGCACACTACTCTTTCTGATCAGGTTAAAGATGGCTTTGGAATAAACATATTTGTGGGCGGAGCATTTACAGGTCAATTCCAGCTGTTTGTGAAAGATTTGTTTTGAAATTTCTTTCAAGGCACCGTGGCACTGGATGATCTCTGCTGCATTCCATGGCTAGACCCTGAAACACCCTGTCACTGTCTGGTGGAGGCGTGACACTCACCCCGAACATTTGCCGCAGGTCTGGATCACGGAAGCGGAAGGGAATATTAGAGACATGCAACCGCTTGGGCTGCTGCTTCTCCGACGAGTCTGAAGGCTGGAGCTGGAGCTGCTGGGAGCCCTCCGTCTGCGCCACCTCGTCCGCCTGCTGGAGGAAATCATGTGCACAGCAATGTTAGTTCATGCTGTTACGTCTCTGCTGAAAGTGCTACAGTTTAGGAGGAGCTCAAGGACAGTAAAAACAGCAGGGTGTGCAAATGGAGTTGGCCAAAAGACTAAGAGACCTGTAAAATGCATAAACAGCAGGGGCGCTGTAAGGAGGTGGAGGTTCAGGACATTTCCAAGGGCACAGATGAGACAGGCGCCCACAAAGATTGGCTGATTATTTATTTATTTATTTATTTATTCTGCATGTGATTTTTAGGCTTGCTGAAAGATTGAAGTGCTTCATTCATTAAATAATAATTAAAGACTAGTTTTAGATACAGTGCTAGCAGCAATGCATCTTGCACATTCAGTGGTTCAGCCCAGTCATGGCCTGCAAGAAGAACTATGAGGGCTACAAGGATTTCATTTTTAATTTAAATGAACATGCCAGAAAACACAAACCAGGCTTCTAAAAATAGTGGAAAAAAAATGGGGAGGACAGGGTATCACCCAGTTTTCTGAAGGTAAAGGTGGATTATCAAGATATATTGTAGCTGTTAATATAAAGCTTAGCCTATAGTAGGGCTAAACGATTTAGGGAAATTATATAATTTAGCGATTTTTCTGCACAATATTGTGATTGCAATTGTAATTGTGATATAGTAACTGCAGCTGTCAAATGGAAATTACGTGACAGAGCTGTGTCAAATTTTAGACTTTTTTATTTAGAATTTTTAGCATTTTGGGGGTTTTCTCTTATAAATCAATAGTACAACATACCCTCTGTTCTTGGGTTAAGATGTCATGTTCTCTCAAGCACTGCAAAGTAAAAGTTTAACTTGAAAGTGGAAAACAGTCCAGTATATGCTATGTATGCTAAAGACCACCTCTAGCGTCACTTTTTCTCTTTTGGCCTGATTAAAGTATCAGAATATCTCCATTATTCCATGACTGAATTTCAAAATCGACCGCTGTATAATCGAGTATGTTTGTACAGATATTAGTGAGCTTTGAATGTATTTGCCTTACATTGTTCAAACCCCGTTTCTCATAGAGTTTTGCTTTGACACCCAAGATGCTAAACTTTTAAGAAACAACAAACATTACAGTTTTGGCCAGTTACTTACAGTACACTGATATACAGTCATGTTGTTTATATTTATATCCACAGCTTGTTGTGTGCTAGAGCTGAAAATAAAAGTTGGTATTATGAAGGTATAATAAAAAAATATATTAATTTTTTAATGTGGTGACAGGTTCTGCTAACGGAAATGAGGTGTGGCAAGGGGTCATTTGATTGACACATAAACCAACCAACCAACCAAATAAAAACTGATGTTTTTGTGTGACATCTAGGGGCAGGAGATTGTCAAACTGGTGCTACAACAAAAACAGCATGAAGCGAAAATAAAACATGGAAGTTGATATACATGCGGATAACCAATAAGAAGGCAATTGGAAAATTCAAATAGCTGTGGCCATCTCAGTCCATGTACTTCTGTGGGCGGAGCATCTGAGGCTGAGACTGATCAAAGCCTGAAAGCAGGGCGGGGGGCAGGCTCTTAAGACCTAAAGGCGGAGGGTGGGGGAGGAGGTGGGGAAGGGAGGAAAAGGAGGAAGAGCAGGAGATGGAGGAGTGCTGGTGGCACATTACAAATTCCCTCTGCTTGGCCAACATTTGTATGTGGCGGCAAAGATTAAGGAAGCTGTCAGGAAGTGTGGATACAGATTTAAAAGAAAAAACCTCTGACATGTTGAGACCAGAGGATTCATTTACTGAGCAGTGGCCTATGAAGACCTGAGGGGATGATGAGAGAGAGAGAGAAAGAGAGAGAGAAAGTGAGAGAGAGAGAGAGAGAGAGAGAGAGAGAGAGAGAGAGAGGGAGCGATCAGGCTCAAAGTCGGTGTGCTCATCTGTCCATCATAGAGAGAAAATAGCAGTGACACCACTGTGCTTCAGGATGGACTGCTGTCTGTGACACACATTCACCTCATCTCTCACCTGCCCAGCGGCGCACCTCTCTCTCTCTCTCTCTCTCTCCCTCTCTCTCTCTCTCCCTCTCTCCCAGTGACCAAATCTCTGTCTCTGTCTCATTCATACACAAACTGGATAAATGATACTGACCAAATGTCAGGCTAGATATTGAGCAAATGTCACAGCATGTATCGTAGCATGTATGCATGTGTAAATGTGTCATCTGGGGACTTTTCGTGATCTGATGTGACATCTTTCTGCTGAATTGTGTTTGTGCTGCACTTTCACAGAGTCATTTGCTACATGGTAATGCATGGCCTCAAGACCCTGAGCAAGCCTCGGGCAACAGTGGCTACATCACCCAACAGGAAAGGAAGGGATACTGCTCTGACATGAAAGAGAAAATTCTTTTGATTTCATATTAACCATATACATTCAGAGATTTTTCTGTGTCCCCTCTAACTCAATACAATCTGCCCTCAGAGTAGTTGGTACATGCGCATGCGCAAAATGTATCAGCTAGTGGAGCAGAAGGTTCCTATTTATTTTAATTGCTTTTATTAAGAAGCATCTTACCGAAGTCATAGTGTAAAGGGTTTCAATACTTCTATTTTCAATATGTCCATTTCATACATATGCAAAAATATCAACGTTATACACATGCTTAAAGACGCAGGAGAGACAAACATATCAAAATAAAAAGTAAACACCAACCCAAAACCTTCACCATGACGTGAAGGTACCTAAGCCTACCTTATCACTGACAAAGCATGTGAATGAACTGTTGACCATAATCTCTTCAGAGGTGAGAAACCAAGAGGTTCCAGATCTTTTCAAATTGGCTTAATTTATCCAGCAACAATTGACTGTAGGGTATTGTTCATGAACATAAGCTTGTCATGAAACTGACATAACCCTACATAAATGTGTACACATGCTTATTCCTAAAGGCTACTGGAGCTAACTGATCAAGATTGCCAAATGTAACCTTTACAGTGAATGACCCCTATTGCAATAAGCATTTAAAAAACATTTATGCAGGGTTATGTCACTTGTCATGTAGGCGTCAGGCAGCCTTATGAACAGCACCCTACAGTAAAGTGTTACCATTTATCCTTCAGCATATACTCAAATCACTCCAAGTGTGCTGTTTTTGTTAGCTCTGCAAACCACTGTCTCATTTAAGACACTTCTGCCCCTTTCCAGAATATGAGAATAAGTTTTTTGGCAATAATTAGGCTAATAGAAATGAGTCACTGCAGAGCTGAGTCTTAACAGAGTTTCAGATACTCCAAATTTAATAATGATCAGAATTGGCTCTAACTGTACCCCTAGCATGTCTGAAAAAGCTGTAAAGATTCGTATCCCAGACTTCCAGAGTTTGGGACAGAGTGCATAGCAATGAAAAAGAGTGAACTAAGTTGACTGACATTTGTCAGACACTAGTAAAATATCTAAAATGTACTTAGATTTACTTTACAGTAAATATGAACGTATTCAAGACTATCATCCCGAACATCATTATATTTTCATACCTAATTGTACTTCCCATGCATTTTTGATGGTTTCCATATGGGGAGTGGTTTAAAGCTCTGAAAGACAGTGTACAGATAAGAAATCACACGAATTATTCTTATGTCCAGTTTCATGTACTGGTCAAGACTATCCGCTTTTGCTGTGACAAAATCTCATAATTGTTTTTACATACCTGACCTGAAAAGATCTGAAAAAAAAAAAAAACTTATATTTCTCCCACAGCTGCTGAAAGGAGGCAAAGGTTTCTTCCAAATACAAAACACCAACAATGCACATCCCCAGGTTTTTCCACATGACAACTGTACCATCCCAATTTGATGGAGAGAATGAGGGATTTGATGCAATGGGGAGGTAAAAACAACATTCTCCTAAACTAATGTGTGTATTTTACAGTTTCCAAATACAATCCTCTTATTCAATCTTTAACTGTGTGCTACTGTGTTCCCTACAACTGTACAATAGATGCACAATGCTGCTTTTATTCGTGGATGAAGCACATGAGCACAATCAGAACAGAAGTGAGATTTCTAAGGGCTTATTATTGATTTGCTTAATCAATAAAAATAAAACACAACAGATGTGAAGCATATTACTATATGTACAAAATGTCATCGTTCTGGCACTCATTGGCTGTCTGACAGTTTTCCTACCTAACTGAGATCTGTGAATGAAACCAAACTACTTGCATTAACAGACACCCCTGTTCCCAACCATCTTAACTGAGGTTAAGAGTGAGTGCCCACTCATTAGGTCATCTGTGTTTGTTTAATAAGGTAATGTGGGACACACAAAATTTTTTGCCTTTGTTTGATTGTGTTCTTCACATATTAAAATAAAAGTGGTATTAAACCATTAAAATAGCAGCTCTTTGAAAAGCCATTAAGGGGGAAATGAATGTAAACCAACAGCTCACGCAACACCCTTGAGTCAAAATCATCACAGTCACTGAGAAAATGGATAAGTGAGCCAATGTAAGTGAAATCCAGCAGCTGACAGATGAAAGGGGCATGTGTGAAAGCTGTGATGCTCTGAGTGGTCATTAATTTCAGACTTATCTTGTTTTTGGTCTGTTGTGTGCAGACATGTTCAGTGGAGGAAAAAGCATGTTGAGCAAGAGGAGAAGCGCAGCAGCCCTTCATGTGCATAATGAATTAGAATAACATGGGGAGAGCAGATGAAAAGATGATGTCAGCTAAACTTCCCCAGGCTTAGCAGGATCAATGAGAGAGAAGTGCTGAAGGCAGCTACATTGGGGCCTGGAGATGGGCCGCTGTATACAGGAGTAGACTTACACAGTACTCCTGAGAGAGAGAGAGAGAGAGAGAGAGAGAGAGAGAGAGAGAGAGAGCAGCAGAAAAAGAAAGAGAGCGGCAGAAAAAGAAAGACAGAAAGAAAGAAAAAAGACATGAAGGAAAAAACAGAAAAAGACAGAAGTGAGAGAAAGCAGAAACAAAAAAGGGAAAAAGAAAAACAAGAAATAAGAGAGAGAA